AGAAAGAAAGAAAGAAAGAAAAGGTGGTCTATACACAAAATGGAAATGACTCAGCCTTAAAAAAAAAAAAAAAAAGAAGGAAATTCTAAAACATGCTACAACGTGGATGAACCTCGAGGACGTTATGGTCAGTGAAATGAGCCAGTCACAAAGGACAAACTATATGATTCCACTCATGTGAGCCACTTAAAGTAGTCAAAAGTCATAGAAACATAAAGTAGAAAGGGGGTTGATGAGGGCCGTGGCAGAGGAGAGGAGAAGCCGGTATCAGTATGGAGAGAGCAGAGTCTCCGTTTTGCAAGATGAGAAAGTTCTGGAGATCTGTTGCACAAGAATGTGAACAACACTACTGAACTGTACGTTAAAAACGTTCAAGATGGTAAATCAGACGTTATGCGATTTTAACCACAATTTAAAATAAAATAGAAAAATTGTGATCATCCAGCCCCAAGCGCTTCCCCTCCTGCACAGCCGGCTGTCCCCTGCTGGCCTCGTCCCTGCTTCCAGCCCCGGGGTCTCCAGCCGCGCGCCCCAACGGACCGCTCTCGGGGAGGCGGCGCGGCCTGGGGACACCTGCTGGCCCGCACGGGGACTGGCCAGCGCGGCTCCCCGGGCCCTCCGTCGCAGCTTCTCCGCTCTGCTCTCCGTGCGGTGCGCGCACCAGGCCACACGCGAGGCGGCCCCGGCTTCAGGTCCTCTGAAGAGCAGCACGTGCACCCTCCTAACCGACAGTGTGACCAGCGAGAGAGCAGGCAGCTCCTGGGCCTGGCGCGCACCTGCGTTCCTGAACGCTCACGGGACCCGCGGCGCCCTGAGGCTGGGTCCTCTCCCCGTTTGCAGGACCCGGCGACCGGCCCAAGGTCGCAGGTAGCAGCCACCAGAGGAGGAGACGGGGCTGCGCCCGGGACCGAACCCTCTTTCCACCGCCCCGGTCCTGCCTTCGGGGGAAGAGGCACGACCGGCACCCGGGAGAGGAGGGTACAATACCCCAAGGTCGCGCGGGCGCGGGCGCAGACGCGGCGGTCACAGCACAGCGCGGCAGGCGACTGCGGGGACTCGGTCCGCGTACGGGCTCCACGTTAGTTCTTGCTTTTTCAGTCTCTGCGCCGGTGAACTGGGCCTCGTCTGGGGCGGTCGGAAAGCGAAAGGCTCGGGAAGAGCCCCCAGAGCCCCGAGCGCGACGCCGAGGGTCCCGGAGGAGGAGCCTCGGCCAGGCCCTGCGGAGAGGGGGTGGGTCCCGCGTCCTTGGAGACGGGTTCCGGGACTGGACCGCCCGGTCCTGTGGGAACAGCCGTGCCCACCCCTGTCCCCCGGAGAGCCGAGCTCCTCCAAAGAACGGGCGAGCGGCTGTCGCGCCCCGCAGCCCCGTCCTCCGCGGCCGCGGGTCACCGGGGAAGGAGGGGGCACTGGGGAAGGGGAAGGGGGTGGTCGGGGGAGGGCCCGGTAGCCATGGCCACCCCCCGCCCTCGCGGCGCGCCCGGGACGCGAACTCGCACCTGGGGAGGACCGGGACGCGGCAGCTCCGCAGGGCCGGCCCCCCCGCAGCGGGTGGGGGCAAGGACTGCGGGACGCGGCGGGGACAGCCGGCAGGATTTGCTGATGGCCATGTCCTGGGTCCCTATGCACGGACCTGGAGCGAGCGCGTCACCTTGGTTTTCCAGCCGGGACCGCCGAGGCTGCGGACGTCACAGTCAGCGTCGCCCGGGAGCCTGGCGCAGTCCGGGAGTGGCCGCACGCGCTCCAGGTCCAAGCGCGCTGTCCTGCGGCGGTGGCACGTCAGGCTCTCCCAGGGTCCTCATTCTCCCCGCGTGCGGGTGCGCTCCAGACCAAGTGACGCAGAATCCCCCGTGAGGGGGACGTGGAGGAGAGGCAGGTGGATCCCCGGCGTGTTTCTTTAGAGCTCCTTAGGTGACCCCAATGTGCTAGAGATCTGCTGATCTACCTTAGGGGCTCGGGACTCAAAATGTGTTCCGGGAACAAAGGAGCCCCCGCCCAGATCTACTGGATCGGGGAATCTGCCTTTTAACAAGATTCTGCAAGTGATTTGCAGCCACATCAGAGTTTGGGGAAAACACCTCTAAGTTCTCTCCCAACAATAAGAATCTATGACTTCGTGACATATGTCTAATTTTCTGCTTTGCAGACTACCAAGACCATATGAACGTGCTCTCATGTGACGTGATCCCTGCGTCGGGGCACTTGAATCCGTGGACACTGGTCAGCGCAGTCTCCCTGCCTGGAGAATGCTATTAAAGCAGCCTAAAACAAATGCGGCTGGTTAGAGCTGGTGCTGATAACACCCAGGTTCGGTGTTCGATTACTATACCTGCGAGCTGCCAAAAAATTTAAGAATAAAGTGACTACAG